TGATTTCAAATAAACCTGTTGGACTATAACCTGGTGTCGTGTGATTTGAGACCTTGTCCACCCCAGTCCAACATTGGCACCTTCACATCTTGAATATTTGTAAGGCAGACGTAGATAGATTCGTGTTAGGCAAGGGAAGCAAAGATTTTAAGGATTGGGTGGGAATGTGGGAATTCGAAACTCAAACAGATCGGCCATGACCTGACTGAATGACAGAGCCAGCTTGAGGAATTGAATGGCCTACTGCTCTCCTATTTTGTATGTGAGCGAATGCGACTCGGTTCAAGTTAGGACACAGGTAGGAGAGCACTGGATGAGCTTCAATTTTCACAATATTTATAATTTATTTAAAGGAATGAAGGAACCATAACAATTGCCTTTTTACCAGGCAAGGGGTCTATACATTCTGCTGCTTCATTACACAATGGGGACCACTTAATGCAGAAAAGCACTGGAAATAGCTACAGTTCTTGTAGGATGAAGGTTCATGTGAGAACACCTAAGGTAAGTATAATTGTATTCTTTTATATTGAAATACCTAGCAATTACCAAACAGTTATGCTTGCTGTGTATCCCGCATATGAATAATCATCTTAAAGTCTCTCGCCTTATTCCTATCCTCAATAGTTCACTGTTCCAAGCTCGGCTCCAATCTAATGTCACAGTGGCTATTCTCACTCCCGTGCCAGGAGCCCATGCTGGTGCATTCCGTACATTTGTGCCTAAAATCCATGGGGTTGCTACATTGTCATAGGTGCTGCCTTTCAGATGTGACGTTAAACCAAAGATCTATTGGATCTTGCATCAGGTGGATGTTAAAGGACACCTGCTCCTGTTTGAATGGAGATCCGTGGGAGAGAAGGGAGGGTACTGTGCTCTCTCCGGCTCCCTGGTCAATAGTTATCCCTAAAAGCAGACCTTCTGATTAACGTTGTCTCACTGTTTGTGGGAACTTGCTGTACACAAGTTCCCTGCTACATTTTCCACGTGACCACAGTGACTACCCTTCAAAAGAACTTTGCAGCTCTGATGAAGAGTCATCTAGACTTGAAATGCTGGCTTGCTGCCTCTATCTCTCCCTGAATGCTGGCAGACCCACTGTGATCTCCAGCAATTTTTCTTTTCAACACAGATTCCAGCTTCTGCAGTAGTTTGCTCCTTCATTGTCTATAAAACCCTTTGGGGCATCCTGTGGTCATGAAAGGTACTGTCGCAGTGCAAATCTTTCTTTTCCAGCAGCATTGAAAAACAGGTGTGAAAAAATTAACCAAGCCATCAATTTTGTGGAATGAGCATTGTAGCTGAACGTCTTATAGTTGATAGGTGACTGTGAGAAGATGTGAATAAGTTAGTTATCAAAAAGGCAAAGATTTGTTGAATTGTAGATTGCCTTTAACAAAATAAATCAGCTCAATTTCTTTGTTAGCCTTAAGACATCTAGAAAATATGACTTTGGTCAGACTAACAAGAATTGTTTTAAGTCCCTACTCTGGAATACCGATGTGAGACATCTTGAGACAAAGTTGCCTGAGCCTAAATAGCATTATCATACATTCATGATGATCCAGTATGCGGGTACAGTAGGTGGGAAGGAAGGCAAATCGAATTTTGGTATTAATTGCTAAAGGAATGGAATAAAAAAGTAGGGGAATGTTGCCGCAGTTGTACAAGGCATTAATGAGACTGAATCTGGAGCATTTGGGCTCCTTACTTTGGAAAGGATGTAATTGCATTGGAGATAGTTCAGAGAAGGTTCACCAGTTTGATTCCGGAGATGAAAGCTTTGTCTAATGAGGAGAAATTCAGCAGTTTAGGCTAATACTTACCAGAGTTTCGAAGAATGAAGGAGATCTAGTTGAGGTGTCAAAGATGCTAAAGGGGATTGACCAAGTAGGGTGTACAGCAGATGTTTACCCATGTGGGAAAACATAGACAATCGTGGTTTTAGGCTAAAGAGTGGCAGATTTAAAGTAGAGATGAGAAGGGATTACTTCTCTCAAAAGTGGGGAATCTGTGGAATTAGAATTAGCTTTATTGTCACACTCACTCACATGAGCACAGTGGAGAGTTTACAAATTGCCACTTATGGTGCAATCTTAGGTACCAAGGGATCTAGGTATAGATTCTTAAGTACAAATTCTTCAGGGTTGGCAAGTAAGAAAAATAAAGAAATAAAATGTCCCGCAATAAATTAGAAAAATAGAGAAATAAGAATTCAAAATAACAGTCCCTCCAACCCAGATCACTCCAGGCTTCACCTCAAGGTTGGGATTTCCAGGAGTTTGGGTCCACGCTGAGGCCGGGAGTTCGAATCCAAGTCTACCCAGACCGTGGTGGATTTCAGCACGTTGAATAAATTTAGGGAGAAGATGGACAGATTTCTAATTAATAATGGATCAAAGGGTTGTGGGGAGTGGAGTTGATGCTGTGATGTATTAAATAATGCAGCAGGCTTGAGGTCCTGAATGACCTATTCCTGCTTCTGGTTCTTGTGTTCTCATGTTTTGCCCCTTCGGACCCCTGCAGTTTTGTTCAGTCATTAGCATCCCCATCTCCTGTTTGTGTCAGGAGCCCCTACCCTGACTTCTGCAGAGATGGCAGGTCTGTGTTAGTCTTCCAGCCATTGTCCAGTGACTCCTACTCTACAGCGCACGCGTTGCACATCAGGCAGGGGAGGGGAAATAGTGTGAGCTCTGGGTCAAGACCTCTAATATGTCAGGTTCAGTTGCAAGCCTCAACCCTACGGTGTGTTGGGATCAGTGGACCACGAGGGCACTAGCCATTCAATTAAAGACAATGTAGATTGTCTCTCAAAGCTGAACAGCCAGTGGGAGACACCCCACCTCATAGCCTGGTGTTGTCAGAAAGAGAGAGAGGACACCCTGTCAGCAACTTTAAAACTTAAAAACAGTCAAAGTTGTGGTGCCAACCATCACAGCAGAGGGGAATCATTCCACACACGATCTGTAGCTATCTGGTTAGGCAGTTGTGAGAAAAAGGTCTCAAAATCAACCTGAGTACTGGCTTTCTCTCCCCCACTAACAGATCACCTCCAGGCAGCTTCTGTACCTCCGGCGCTGAAGGAGGCCCCACACGCTGACTGGTATATGCCAGTCCACCTCTGACCCCTGAGCTTAATTAGCAACCCACCACTGCATAGGCTCTAATGGCTGCTGGACGATGTACTGGAGAACAGCTACAGACAAGAACCTGAGAATTAGGAGCTGGTGGAGGGCATTTGAACCATCAAGCCTGTTCTGTTATTTAATAAAATCGTGGCTGATCTGATTGTGGCTTCGACTTCGCTACACTGCCTGCTCTCCCCATAACCTGTGACTCCCCTTTCAACCAAAACAATTGGCTTCTGAGGAAATGGGGTTGAAAATTGAGTGATAGAGATATATTACCTGATCGATATGACCAGCTAGTTCCGCAACACACGAATCTGTTACGTTGTTGGCCTATTCGTGAATGCAGCCCAAACTGGGAGAACTAATTACCTGTGCATCGTATCAGAAAACATCTGTGCTAATGATACACTCTGTCTTTTTCTCAACAGCCCCAACTTGAAGACCACTGTCCAGTGCCTTTCCAGTCACCTGACATTTGTCCACTACAGCTTACTGCCTCAGGTATCAACTCTCAATGGGGTGAGGGGAAAAGTTTTCCACCTTCCAAGCTCTTATAACTTGCATAGTTTTGGAAAAGGGTTAACCAGATAATGGACTTTTTCTCCAGCTCTTCCTCACAAGTTCTCATCCAACATGTGGATAAATGGTGTTAGTTATTCCAACAACAATCAAGAAGCTTGACACCATCCAGGACAAAGGAGTTCACTTGATTGGCACCTCATCCACAAGCACCAACTCCCTCTAATACTCCCTCTGCTCAGTAACAGCAGTGTGTACTATCTACAAGTTGCACTGCAGAAATTCACCAAAGATCCTTCCAAACCCATGACCACTTCCATCTAGAAAGACAAGGGCAGCAGATACATGGGAACACCACCACCCCAAGTTCGCCTCTATGCCACCCACCATCCTGACCTGGAAATTTATCGTTGGATTAAAATCCTGGAATTTCCTCCCTAACAACATTGTGGGTCTATCTGCAGCACACAGACTGCAGTGAAGGCATCTGACCACCCTCTTCTCAAGGGCAAACTAGGGTCGGGCAATAAATGCTAGCACTGCCAGTGATGCCCACATGCTACAAATGAATTAAAAGAAGTTCCTCAGGATGGCACAAGGTGTCCTCATCCAAATGCAGAAATGCTCAGTATAATAATTGAAGAGGCTATCCACATATGAATGACTGAATGAATTGTGTAGAGAGTCCAAGCTGCGTGCCTCGCTGGTCAGTTCAGCTGTGTGTGATCAAACTGCACAATTCTAGCCACTCCAATGTGTCCATTAGCACATCCAATATAATGGCAATATAAGAGCAAATATAAAAGGATTTTTTAAAAAAAATACACAATCGAGGGATGTGGGTGCATACTGTGAGATGTCATTATACACCTCTGGAGCAGGTGGGACTTGACCCCAGGCCTCCTGTGCCAGAGGTAGGGACCTATCACTACACCTAAGAATCAACTTCAACACTACCCACCAATAGAAAACAACTGGAAAAGGTAGTTAAAAAACAGGAAGTTGGTCACTTGCCCCCAAAATATTATCATTAGAGATTAACACATTTAGAAAGAAGTTTGAATGCCCAGTGACCAATTTAAAAGATTACTTTCCTAGATTTCAATTTGATGACTTACATTGCAACAAACAAAAGGCAACATTGCTAAGCAATATTTTTGTAAGCAACTTGTACTTTAACTACAGAACAAAACTCCCCCTGTTTAACATCTAAAACCAGCAATAACCTTCTGCTCCACAGTTATACTTTCAATGATCCCTCTGGCAGACATTCAGTTCTTCTGGGTCACTCCTTGATAATGCTTAGCTTCCAGGGGCTTGCTTCTGTTCCTTTCCTTTCCCAACCAGGCAACGTCTGACCCCAGAGCTGTCTATCACAGCGAGAGTTTAACTGGAGATTATCCTCGCTCAAACTAAGCACATCTCTCATTTTAAATCCTCATGAAATGGGTCTTTTCAATCTGAGCACAAGTTTCCTACACACATTCCTATGTGTATTTTCCTGCTTCTATCTGTTCTCTGTCTCTCACCGATCTAAGCAGACTGCGCTGTAAAATTCAGGGTTATCTTTCAGGAGAACCTTGTTATGTGATCCCACAATGGCTTCTTTTGTATCCTTTGCTCTTGAAGCCCATCTCCAAGGCAACATGAATTGTATGGGCCTTATATCCAAATAGAAATTCTGTTTTGCTGCCCTTAAGCTCCCAATGTGTTATTAAATGGACAGTTTAACTTAATTTAATGGTATAATACAATTGTTTCAGGTACCCTCCTGATAGTAAAAGGTTTGGATCACACTTACACTAGGGATGAATGGTGCTGAATGCAAGAACATATTGAATCCAGGCCCAAATTTCTAACAAGCAGTTTGAGCTTAACCTTAAGAACAACCATATCCTTCTGAGATCCAATTCATTCTGTTGGAAATACTGTGTGCCAAACTCTTCAATGATTCAACAAAATGTGCTTGGATACATGCATCGGAGTAAGAACATTAAGAAAAAAGAAAGGATTCAGCACTTCATTCAGGGTCTTGTTGAAGTTGTTTCAGGATACACAGAAGGAGTTCAAATAAAGATGGTTTGGATTTGGCTGACATTGGTGTGTCTTGGAAACCAGATATTGGACTTTAATATTACAAAATCTCCAGGCCTGATGGGGAACTGCACACACATTTTAACTTATCAATAGATCACATCATTGTTTAATGCTTTGGCACCATGGGTCATACAGGATAGTGTAAATTGGACAATTTACCTGTATTTTTCACTGAGCTGTTATACTGTATACAAGGTCCCACCAACAGCACAAACTTTTGCTGGATTTGTTATTGATCTCACTCAATGTTCTAGCTACAACTAGTGACAGAACAAAGGTACAAGCACACAAGACACAAACTTGTTACATTCTGTGTATGAAGAGGCTGTCCAAAGTATAAGGCTGAATGTAAACCTCTCTCCGATTGCACATGGGTGTTTCGTCCAGTTTTGAGGAAACATTGTGCCTTTTTTAAGGAACATCAACTACTTGTTAGGCTGAAGCGAGGGAGAGTTGAAGCTTGCATACATCTGCATCCACGAGGACTCTGTGTTGTTTCAGGTGTTAAACCAACATTTATGTAGAATCCAGAATAATCTGAAATTCCTCCAGAGAGTGACAGTTTAAAACTTTTAACATTGCAAACATTGAATTTGACATGGATTATCATGTGTTATTCCTTCTCTACAGCTGCCAAAACATCCATTCAGAAAGAAGTGCCCAGCATCAAACGTAAAGTCTCTCTGGACCCCCATGTTCGGTTAAAGGTGGATAAGCTCGAGTTGGTAAGTGTTCCTCTCCCAAATCTCCTTAATTTCCTCTTCCTCCTTAATGTTTGAAATTACAGTGAGTAAACTAGTTTTGTAAACAGGGATTCAGAGGAAAAAAGCATTACATTTTCTTGATTATTTAGACATAGGTGGAAAAAAGCAGGTATTAAAATATCTGTGTGAAGCAATGGAACAAATATTCAAGATCTTGAACAAGTTGAAAGAAAAACTTAAGCAGTTATAAAGAAAGGGTGGATAGGCTGGGACTTTTATCACTGGAGCGCAGGAGGTTGAGAGGCGACCTTATAGAAGCTTATAATGAGAGGTATCGATAGAGTTAATGGTAGTTGTCTTTTCCCTAGGATGAGGGATTTCAAGACTAGGAAGCACATTTTCAAGGTGACAGGAGAGAGATTTAGGGTGGTTTGTGTGTGGAATTAGCTTCCTGAAGAAGTGGTGGATGTAGGTACAATTACAACGTATAAAAGTTATTTGGATGGATTTGTGAATAGGAAAGATTTGGAGGGATATGGACCAGGAGCAGACAGGTGGGAATAGTTTAGTTTGTGATTATGTTTGAAATGGACTGGTTGGACCGAAGGGTCTGTTTCTGCGCTGCGTGACTCTATGATGTGCAGTTATCGCAACCCACTATTTTTAACAACATAATTCAACAAATAACTCAGAAGAATTTTTTTCCATGGTTAAGTGGCTAGAACGTAGAACTTGCCACTACATGAAGTCTGCAAGGTGAACTACATTAAGGATAAGGACAAAATGGATTTGAGGATATGTTGATGGGGTTAGATGAAATAAGGTGACAGAAGCATTAATGTGGAGCTTAAACAATGACATAGACTGATTAGTTTAAATGGTTTATCTGTTTTAAATGGTTTATCTGCACTGTAAACTCTATGTACACTTGCACTATATTACATACAGTTTATGCTTTGATAGAGATACAGTTATCCATAATTTTACACCCTTGCTGTAATTTTGACTGTCATAGGCACTGAAGTACCTTGGTTTACATGTCACAGAAGAACAAACAAGACAGCTGAGGCTCAGTCTCACAAATGATTCACAGGGAACTGTGGCCTTTGGAGGTAATGATAACCTTTCAAATTAAAATGGCTTTCTGGTAGCATTCTTTCCTTCCCTCATTTCTCTCCTTTTGTTCCCCTGTGGGGAAGGTGAGGCAGAAGTTTCTGTAGCTGTTACCAGTGTAGATTGATTAGCAGTAAATCCCCAGCCCCTAACAAACGGCATTGTAGGAGCATCTGAACCACACAAGCTGCAAAGGGAAGGGAATAAGGCCCATCTCCACCTTCTCATGAGTAATTAAGGATTGGCAATAAATACCGACCACGTCCCAGAAAACAAAAGAAATAATAAGAATTGCATCAGCGTGGGATGTGAGCATTGCCTCCATGCCTGCTCAGTTATAGTTCGCTGTTATAAAGTGTAGCATCTAAAATGTCCAACATGGATCAGATGATTCTTCATTGGAAAGGAGAGTAAGTTAGAGGGAAAACCATCTTCAGATCACACTTCCCACCTCAAGGGGTCAGAAATCAAGGACAGTGTGCAATGATTTAAAAAGTGTGCTTGGTCAGATCATACCCAGAAAGGGGCAAGTCTCCCCTCCTCAATGTTAACAGCCTCTTGTTCCATTCCGATCTCAGTTCTCTGGCCCCGCAGACTCAGTGCTTTGTCATATTACAATGAGATAGGCACAATGTTGAAATATGCTGATGCATTCCTGTTGTAAATAAACCATGTGCTGCGATAGTGTTAAGTTTACTTTATGATGAGGGAACAAGCTAATCAGTTACAGACAAAAAAACCTGCAGATTCTGCAATCCAAGGTAGACAAACAGGAGGCTGGGTGAACACAGCAGGCCAGGCAGCATCTGGAGAAAAGGAGCAGTCAATGTTTCAGATATTACCCTTCTTCAGGACTGGATGTGGGGGTAGGAGGAGCTGCAGATAAAGGGAGCGGGAAGATGTGGAGGTGGAATGGTGGTGATAGGTGGACACCGGTGGTAGGTATGACCTGGTTAGTCAATGGGAGGGATGAATCTGGTTGGTGGCTGGAAGGGAGGGTCAGAAGGTGGAATGGAAGGGAGGAGGTGGGGCTGGAAGGGGAGGCGGGGAACGGGTGCCAACGCTGTTTAAAATTGGAGAATGGAATGTTGAGTCCTCCTGGCTGTAGGGTGCCCAGGCAGAGATAAGGTGTTGCTCTTCAAATTTGCATTCCGAAAGCTAATCAGTCCTGCCCACACACATGTAGAACCAGTTTCACTCATTGCATAATTATGTCATAACTGCCTCCAGTATCATATCCTCAATTATAATCTTGTCACATCGGAGTATTAATTTTGCAAAGGCAAAAGATCCATGAAGGGTTGAAGGATTTTGAATCTACTCATCAAATTCCCAAATTAATGTAATCTGGTGTGATAGTTTTACAGAATGGAAAAAACCATCAGGAGATCCCATAAACTGGATTTTAATACATATCCCATTTATGCGAGCAGGACTGTAGCAGTAATTGACAGTTTATAGAAATTGTATTTCCTTATGTGTAAGTGGTTGGCATTACCTATAGATTCACTTATGTTCCTATACATAATGAATACACTAAAACTGTGGCTGTTGAGCTGGGAGACACGTGTTTGTAATCTGAATAATGTGAATAAATGTTTCTAAGATTAGCTCCAGTTCAATCCTTTTCACTATATTTCCTGAAATAAAACAATAACAGACTGAAAATGGGAGAATGGCCCTTACATCTTGAACATGATTTACCTCTTCGTCATTTCGTTGGCAGCTGACAATCGTGCAAATGATCCAGCCCCTGTCAACCACCTGTAAATTATGGCAGGACCTAACACATCTTCCCTGTTTCTCTGCTACCCATATTTTGCTGCCTACTATTAGCCCATCCCCAAACATACACACACATGCACACACACACCCATACGTGCACGCACGCGCACACACAAACACACACACACACACATGCACACACACTCCCACATGTACACACACAGACATGCACGCACAAACGCGCACACATAGATACAGAAACGTGTGCACACACACAGATACAGAAACATGTGCGCACACACACACACACACAGATACAGAAACATGTGCACACACACACAGACCCACACGTGCAAACACACACACCCACACATGCACACACAGACATGCACACACATACGTGCACACACAGATACAGAAACGTGTGCACACACACATACAGATACAGAAACGTGTGCACACACACACACAGACCCACTCATGCACACACATATGCCCACACTCAGATACAGAAACATGCACACACACACACACACACACATACACACACACACACACACACACACACACACAGGGAGCACTACATGCACACAGTCATGCACACTCTCCCATGCAGACTAACACATGCGTACACTACAAACCAGAAGAATTGGCTGATATCATAGTGGGAGAGAGGAGTAAAAATCTCATTCCATCCTTCTTGTGGTGGGAGAAGCTGAATCCTGTCCTAGAGGGCCTCAGCCACAATAAAGACAGTTGAGAATCTGTGGGTTTTCTGACAAGTTTGCAATTTGGTTTCTGCTGATGGAGTTGCTGGTGGGTAAAGAAATAACATTGAGTGAACTTTGTAGATTTTGTGCAGGCAGCAAGAATTACCTTGCCACAGGAGCTGGAGGATGTTGGCCTAAGTCAAAGACCCCTGATGTTTTCTCCTCATGAAGTTGCGAACCTTTTGGATACAACAGCTTTCCAATCCCCGGTAAGACAGTTACCTTCACCAGCCTAGATGCCAAGCTCTGGAATTCCCTCTCTAAACCTTACCACCTCTGTCTCCTCTTTAAAGATGCTCATTCGAACCCCCTGTTTGACCATATGTAACCACCTGTACTCATGGCCCATTATGTAGCTCTGTGCCACTTGTGTTTGCTTGTGCACTTTGGTATCATTGCAAATCTTATCATTTAATTCAAGAAAAGTTTGAATTCAGCACCCACCGAAATAGCTGGAAAACTAAGTTGTGAATGGGATACAAACAGTTTACAGAGAGATATTGAAAGGTTAAGTGAATGGGCAAAAGTTGGCAAATGGAATATAATGTGGGAAAATGTGAAGTGGTTCGTTTTGCAAGGGAGAACAAAAGAACAGAACACTGTTTAAATGAAAAAAAGCTGCAGAAAGCTGCAACTCAAAGGGACTTGGGGGAACTTGTACATGAAACACAGAAAGTTAGCACCCAGGTGCAGCAGGTAAACAGGAAGGCGAATGGAAATGTTGGCCCTTATTTCAGGGATTGGAGTGTATGAGCAGGGAAGTCTTCCTGCAATTGTACAAGGTGCTGGTGAGACCACACCTGGAGAACAGTAAGCAGCTTTACTCCCCCTTTATTTAAAGAAAGATATTGTTTCATTGGAGCCAGTTCAGTGAAAGTTCACTGGGATGGTCCCTGGTAAGGAGGGATTGTCTTCTAAGCAAAGGCTAAACAGTTTGGGACTCTACTCATTGAAATTTAGAAAAATGAGAGGTGATCTGATTGAAAAACGTACAGGGCTTGGCAGGGCAAATGCTGAGAGAATGTTGCCCCTCATGGGACCAGAAGACATAGTGTCAGAACAAAGGGGCACCCATTTAAGACTGAGATGAGGAGGAATTTCTTCACTTAGAGGGCTGTGAGTCTTTGGAACTCCTTGCCACAGAGAGCAGTGGGGGCAGAGTCCCTGTGTATATTTAAGACAGTGATGGATTGATTCTTAATCAGTTGGAGAATAAAGGGTTACAGGGAAAGGGCAGGAAAGCGGTTGTGAGGGAATGTCAGATCAGCCATGATCGTATTGAATGGCAGAGCAGGCTCAAGGGGCTGAATGGCCTACTCCTCTTCCTAATTCTCACAGTCTTCCAGTCACCAGGAAAGACAGGCCAGGGCTTAGTTTTTGAACTCCAGTACAAGACTGTCTTTCACAGTTTTCCTCCTTTGCTCTCTAAATTTTAGATCTTTAGCTCCAAAACCTTCCACAACCCTGAGAACGTGGACTACCTGCAGTCAGAAGTAACTGAATTGCGTCAGGAAATTAAGAAATTGAAGGTGAGGTTTATTTTTGCAGAGGATGTGGTGTAATGATATTTAATATCCTGTTGTTAAACTGCTCGACTTCACCCAGCAGGATTAGTTTGGCGAGAGGTCTTGCATTAGTTATGACTCTTATTGATTGTGTTTGAATGCTGCATTAATCTCACTAGCTGATTTTTATCAGTACACCACAAGTTGTCCAACAGTTTACCAGCAACAACCTCAAATCTTAGCTCTTCCAGTAAATAAAAGCGTGCCCTTGCATTCCATGAACTTATTCATGTTCACTTTGAGAGCGATAATGTTTGTGATGAGCATGGGAGGTTATTGATGACTGGTAACTCAGAAAATCTTCTTTAGGCTATATTAAGAAAGAATTATTTTTTACATGATTCAGGCAACATTAATCAGGATAACAATCCTATTGTGATCAATTGTGATTGTCTGATTCAAATCACTATTAAATGGGATCTACAGTCACACGATTATCGAGTTGGATAATCTGCAATATTGATAGCTGTTTGCTGTCTTACTTTTCCTGTGGCATTTCCATTTAATGAGATTGCTTTGCAGCTCCCCTCTTTCATCATAGCATTTGTCCTTCCTCTTTATAAACTGTTGCAGTCCCACTCTTAATACCCCTCCTAGTGCCTCACTGGGAAGATATGGGAATCAGTGTTTTGGCAGGTCATTAACTTACTCCTTTTTAACTGCCAGGATTGGCTGGTCTCTGCTGGGCGAGTCAGGTTAAAATCAATCTTTTCATGCTGTGTAATGCCCCTGGACTAGTATTCCAGAGGCCTGTGTTCATCCTCTGGGAGATATTTGGGTTGGTACAGTGGCTCAGTGGTTAGCATTGCTGCCTCATAGTGCCAAGATCCCTGGTTTGATTCCAGCCTCGGGCACCTGTCTGTGTGGAGTTTGCATGTTGTCTGCGCGGGCTTCCTCCTACAGTCCAAAGATGTGCATGTTAGGTGGATTAGCCATGGCAGAATGCAGGGTTACAGGGATATGCTAGCTGGGGCTGCGTCTGGGTGAGATGCTCTTCAGAGGGTCAGTGTGGACTCGATGGGCTAAATGGCCTGCTCCCACACTGTAGGGATCCTGTAAAAGATGGGTTCAAATCTCACTACAGTGCCTGGTGTGCTTTAATTGTAATTCTGGAATTATAAATGGTAACCATGAAATCATTGTCAATGCACAATTAAAATAGTGTAAGACTTTGCTCTTCACGATCAATTGACCATTTCACAGCTAGGAGATTTTGAAGTCATTCTGGCGAAAAAAAGCAACTAATTAGATAAAGCGAGATCTTCCAGAGAGTTAAATGCCCAGATTATCTACTTTAATATATTTTATGAGAGATTGCAAATGACTGGGAATGGAAGGTTTGAGTAATAGGGATAGGCTGGGATGTTTTTTCCCTGGAGAATGGGAGGTTGAGGGGTGACCTTAGAGGGGTTTATAAAATCCTGAGGGGATTGGATAAGGTGAATGGCAGGTGTCTTTTCCCTAGGGTGGGGGATTTCAAGACTAAAGGGCATATTTTTAAGGTGAGAGGAGAAAGATTTAAAAAAGACCTGGGGGCAATTTCTTTTACACAGAGAGTGGCTCGTGTGTGGAATGAACTTCCAGAGGAAGTGGTGGATGTGGGTACAGCCATAACGTTTAAAAGACATTTAGATAAGCACATGAATATGAAAGATTTGGAGGGATATGGGCCAAGCACAGACAGGCAGGAGTAGTTTAGTTTGGAATTACAATCAGGACGGACTGGTTGGAATGAGGGGTCTGCTTCTGTGCTGTATGACTCTATGACCAGGATTCAGGGAATACACCTGTTCTCCTTCAGCTAGTGTCATGGACTCTGTTACATACATCTTGGGGACTGATGGAACTTAAACCTGTTCATTCATCCATCAGTAGATATTTCAGTATCAGGAGCAATAGTTCAGGACCTCTGACCCCTGAAGTCCTTTCTTGCAATCACAGGCTGTTATCATGGAGATGGAGAAGAACAAGAAAGCACTGGAAGAGGAGCTGCAGCAGATCACTCAGGTTAGTGTGGACTCTTGCTGGAGCAATGCAACATTAAACATCATTCCAGGGTCTGGGAAGGGTGCGGGAGTTGAACTATAAGTGGTTCATCACGTTGTACAAGCTAGTTTCCCCGTCTGCGCTCTAAGCAGAAGGTAAACCTGGATAGGGTGCAGTTTCTGTTTAACTTCGACCGCTACCAGCCTGACAATCTGCTTCTAAATCCAACAGAGAGCCACAGCCACTGCTGCAGATAACAGGATGCTACAGAACAAGCTGCACCTGGCCAGTGCGGTTCAGCACGGGGCCCACTCCGCTGAACAGGACTATGAGGAGGCTGTATGTCTTCTGGAGGCCGAGATCTTGGACCTCAGAACCCAGCTGGAAGGAAAGGCACAACGTCATTCAGCACAGTTAAACAAGGTGGGTGATGTACTGGTTACTGAGAGATCGATCAGATGTAAACATACGGCGTAGTGGTATTATTACGGGACTGTTATTTCAACAACCCAGGTCATGCTCCAGGGACCTGAGTTCAAATTTTACTGAAATCAAACTCTTGGAATTAAGAGTTTAATGATTAGGCCCGGGGAAAAAAAACCCGTCTGGTTCACTCATGTCCTTTAGGGAAGGAGACTCTATATCCTTACCTGGTGTGGCCTACATGTAACTCCAGACCCACAGCAATAGGGTTGACTCTTAACTGCCCTCTGGGCAATTAGGGATGGGCAATAAACGCTGGCCTAGTCAGCAATGCCTACATCCTGCAAATGAATTTTATAAAAGAAATGGAAGGCAGGCTCTCTTGACCCAGATGTTTTGCTAGCCCCTACCAGGGAGCAATGTACACTACCAAGGTGAGGAAGGAGCTTGCAATATCATTCGAATATTGTGATTCTGTGCTTGTTACATCCTTCCAGTTTCCCCACATGTTTTCAAGATAAGATTGCCTGCCTCTGGAATCATTACCATACAGGTTATGGGTTTTCCTTTTCTAGAAGCACATTACTGAGGCTTTCCTGGTGTAGTGATAATGTTCATACCTCTGAACCAGGAGGCTCAGATGGAAGTCCCACCTGCTTCAGAGATGACTCAATAGCATCTAAAAGAGCATTAGTGACCCTTCTTAAAATAAACTAGTTAATCCTTGACATTAGGTGCCACGCTGGCTCAGTGGTTAGTGCTGCTACCTCACAGCGCCAGGGACCCGGGTTTGATTCCAGCCTTGGACAATTGTCTGTGTGGGGTTTCACATTCTCCCTGTGCCCTGGCCCACAATCCAAAAATGTTTAGGTTAGGTGGATTGGCCGTGCTGAAATTGCCTTTAGTGTCCAAGGATCTGTAGGCTAGTTGGATTAGCCATGAGGGATGCAGAGTTACAGGGAGTGGGTAGCAGGGTGAGTCTGGATGGAATGCTCTTTGGAGGGGCGGTGTGGACTCAATGGGCCAAATAGCCTGTTTCCACACTGTAGAGGTTCTATTGCCCAATTCTGACCCACAAGGAACAACATTCCTAATTTTGTGGGTTTACTCAACAAGTATGTAATTTGTTTTGAAAAATGAAATCAAAAAGAAATGATTGCACTATTAGATAAAAATTAAATATGAAATCAAACCAAAGCTCCATTCATTGCTGGATGCAAAGGCTCCTATTGCAGTGAAGAGGGACAAGGGAGTTAGCCTGATCTCCTGTATCTATCAGCCACTCAGTCCTCCACTGTAAAACAGACTGCCTGGTCATTACCACATCAGCTCCCACATTCACTTGTCACTTTCCAAATCCTCCTCGCTGAAATTCCAGGCCTGTGCCAGTTCCTCTGACACTGATATTTATTTGGCAGGAAAATAATCAGGATCTGCGGGAAAGACTGTCAATTGCCAACAGCCAGCTGCAAACATCTGAACTCAGTCGCAAACATCTGGAAATCTCCAACAGGAAGCTATTGTCCTTTGTTGAGGTGAGTTTTGTGTATAAACACTGAATTTATAAGCAGAAAGGTAACAACCCTAACACTGGCCACCTATTGTTGAATCTCCAATCAGTTAGGAAGGAGACTACTGATTAAAGTACAAAATCCAGATTCCTCTCAAATCATTGCCCAGAGATAATTAAAGGTTTTATCAATATATACAAGAGGTGACATCTCAGGTCAGACAATGCAGTTTAGGTGTGAGGTCTTGCTTAGAATCTGTCTGTTTTAAACTGGGGTCGGGTTTTATTTTTTGAGCAAAACAGAATGTATCCGCAACTATGCAAATATCTTGGATTAAATAATTTATGCAGGTGTCTGTCTCTGTGTCTGTGTAAGTGCAGGTGCACGCACTCGCGCGTGCGCACGTGTGTGTGTATGTGGGAGAGAGAGAGAGAGTGTGTGTGTTTGTGTGTGTGTTGTGTGTGTTATGTGGGAGGGAGGGAGAGAGGGTGTTTATGTGTGTGTGTGAGGGAGAGAGAGACTGAGTGTGTGTGCGAGACGGGGGGGAGAGAGAGACTGTGTATGGGAGAGAGAGCGTTTGTGTGTGTGTTGGGGGAAGAGAGAGAGAGAGTGTGTGTGTGTATGTGTGTGTGTGTAAGAGTGAGGGAGATAGATAGACCGTGTGTGTGTCGATTTTGCTCAAAAAGAATTAAACCTTACCCCACTTTAAAACATAGACAGATTCTAAGCAAGACCTCACACCTGAGATGTATTATCTGACCTGAGATGTCACCTCTTGTATACACTGATAATATCTCAAATTATCTCGAGACAATGACTTGAAAGAAATCTGGATTTTGCATTTCAATGAGTAGATTCCTTCCTAACTGATTAAAAATTCAACAAGAGGCGGCCAGTTTTAGGGTTGTTACCTTTCTGTTTATAAATTTTGTGTCTTATATCCTCTCTCTCACACTATGCCTGAAGAAGGAGGCTGCGGTTTCACATAAACCTGTTGGACTATAACCTGGTGTTGTGTGATTTCTGACCTTGTCCATTCCAGTCCAAAACCGGTGCCTCCACATAATGTAAACACTGAAGTAAACACTTCCTTCACAAGAGTGAAGCATGATCTAATAGTCCCTGCTACCTCCTGACATGTTCCCATCGTTGCGGCATTGATTCAGCTTTAGCACCATTTTCAACACAATCTCATGGAGTCTTTCTGCAGACCTTTACAAATCACATGCCCAAGGTTTTGCACAGTGCTGCTGAGCTAATCATCTTCCAAGAAAAAAATTACACTAACACTGCATTTGATGATCAATGGAAAAGGTTATCCTCATGTATTCTTAGAGCAATGGAAAGGAGATATTATTTTTCAGCTGGTGAAGGTCAACAACAGAAGGCAAGTCACAGAACAGAGAGGCTCTTCGGCCCATCTAGTCTGCCCTGGCCTATCTACATGAATCCCATTTTCCCACCCTTGGCCCACACCCTTGAACGGAATGACATTTTAAGTGCAATGACTGAAAACATTGCATCTCCAGCAGTGGTATCTCAAAACTGATTGGACTCATATTCCATCTACTTCCCTCTCAAAAAATATCAACGTTGTGTTTCTTTTCTTGCAGAAAGTACATAAGGTTCTAACATCTGCCACGTTACAGGGAACTGACCAAGGGTAAGTAGCTCAGTACAACTTAGCATATCTGTAGTGATGTATGAACAGAGTTATACTAATGGAAATATAAAAATGATTCACACACCAGCCCCTCCTTCTGCCTCCAGTATAGAGACTCAAAGTAGTGTTGATGTTGTGGCTTCAGGACTTGCTAAATAAAACCTGCAATGCGCCTCACTGGAATTATGTACGAGATTTCTGATAGTAACCTTCTTCTGTCAGAGGGTTGTGAATCTTTAGAAATCCTTGCCACAGAGAGCTGGATGGGTAGAGTCCTTGTGAATATTTAAGGCTGAGACAGATAGATTCTTGATCAGTCAAGGAATCAAGGGCTATGAGGAAAGGGCAAGAAAGTGGATGTGAGGAGTGTTGGATCAGCCATGATCCTATTGAGGGGCTGAATGGCCTGCCCGTGTTCATTTCTCTTTTGGTCTTATGGTCTAACTGTTTGCTTCTTCTGCACACCTCGTGCTTGCATGTTGAGTGAAAATGAAACTACTGATAATGAACTCACAGACACAGTGCGAGGTAAATATCAGCCATTCTCACGAACATATCATGTTATCACATTGTTTACTACGACCTATCCTCACACCTTGACATCAAAGGGGACTGCATGGGAAGAAATGCAATCTCAGGTGTCAGAATGCAAACCTGCAAGAGATAGCAGACTGATGGATCACGAGCATGAGAAAGGGCGAAATGTTTGCAACCATCTTCAGCCAAAGTCACTGAGTGGATGATCCATCTCAATGTCTTCCTGAAGTCCCAAATGTCACAGATGCCAGTTGTCAGTCATAGAGTCACACAGCACAGAGACAGACGCTTCAGAGCAACTCATCCATGTCAACTATACATCCCAATCTGACCCAGCCCCATTTGCCAGCATTTGGCCCACATTCCTCTAAACCCTTTCTATTCATATCCCCATCCAGATGCCTTTTAAATATTCATATACCCATCCAGACACAACATTTAAAATGTATCTGGATGGGTATATGAATATTCATTTAAAAGTTCGATTGGGATATCAGTCTCCCAGTTATGTCAAGGAATGGTGAAGCACACTGGAAACAGCAAGATTCCCTGACAACGTTCCAACTACACAACCGAACTAACTGCACCCCTAGCTAAGGTGTTCCAATGTACTGACCACTACCCAAAAATAGATGATGGAGAGAAAACAGACTGCATTCCTACTCCCCACACATTTATTTTCAATCAAGTCAGTGAAAATTAAAACCAGGCACCATATAAAACAGGCTGTCACTTTGTCATCAGCTATTTTGCGACAGATAGTAGGAACTGCCAATGCTGAAGTCTGAGATAACAAGGTGTAGAGCTGGATGAACACAGCAGGCCAGGCAGCATCACAGGAGCAGGA